TCAAGACTTTCACAACTTTCTAATTTTCATGTTAATGCACCCCAATCTTTGTACTCTAATCGGACTCCACCATCCTAATGGGTCTGTTCATCTTTAGTGTACTCTTACTCCAACTTGCAATCAAGGTCGCCCATGCCACACATAAGTGGGCGCATGTGAACGTGAAATTGGCTTTGGGCTGAAATGACACAAGCTCTCTGTACAAGGTTTGGGTGCTATTGTGGGAGGCTCATCACGTGCTAACAAAAAGGGTTGGTTAGCTATGCTTTTGGCTTTTGTACCTGTGTCCTTGGGACCGTAAAAAATTTCTACCAGTTCTCCTGGTATAGTGGAATAACATTGCATTTGTTATTAGGATGAAACAGTATACAATAGCATCGGTTGGGAATCGTGTTTATTCATGCTCATTAATCCGGTCGCTCAATTCTCCGACACAATGCCACTTTTTCACAGCGTGCCGTCAAGCATGGAAAGCTTCAACTCTCATCGGATTAGAGCGGTTGTTTATCCAGGATTATCCCCACGTTTAAAATAATACCCCCTAAGATCCCATGTTAGCACATCTATGAACAACACCGTTTTACACATCTGAGCTCAAACGTCACACAGAACACACCGACAACAACTGGGCTGAGATATTTAGTAAACCCTAACCCCCTCCAGACGAGTCTTTGCCGGTATTGGGGTAGCATAATCGGGCTAGATTAAACGCAATGGCCCCGGCGTGATCTAATGTGCAATCAATGGCGCATGTGCGCATGGTCTCCCGGTTAACCTTAACCATATTCCCGTGTTCAGGAGTTCCTACTTCATTAGGTAGCAGTACTGCTCGAAGAGGCATGCATAGTATTGTCTGGGGTCACAGGGTGTATTGTCAATCCAATTAAAGTATCAGATCTTGCACCCAAGTGCCCGTCTCCACACTCACTTTAACCTCTCATCACTGATGCCCTGCTGTTCACGCCCAACACCTACAAACTTTCACGAAAAACGTGATCAACGATACTGCGTTAAGCAGCCCGACCAACTTCTCCTCAGGGCATCTTCATATCGCTTTGGAGGCTAACAATGATTTGGTGGCATCGAATTTGGCTCAAAAATGAATAGATGCGATTCTAATCAGCACGGGAGATGCGATAATGTTCCACAGTAATGGCATCTGCTTAGTTGATGATTTGGCAGACGTGAATAACGTTGTGACTGTATAGTGCATCGCAATCACAACTTAGAGTAAACCGTCGCCAAAATTTTCCGCAGTATATTTGTTAAAACATCATGATTTCCAAATTAGCATTTCTAGGGCGATATGTGATTCATGGAATCTCTACAGACGCCGCATTACCTTACGCCACTTTTTAAATAATTTCTCGAAAAGTACAATTTATTTAATCTGCGTTCACATCAGCCCTACAATTAAACATTGTCACCAATTTCACCTTCCTACGAAAAACTTGGCACCGTGGGAATTGCGAGTGAAGATATTGAGTTTGCGCAAAACACGATTTATCAAAGTAAACTAATCAAACAGCTTCAGTTTCGCACGTTCATGTAAGGAATGTAATACTTTTAATGGCTCCCGAAAAGTTGCTTGAAGTACATTTGAAGTTGCACCACATCAAAGTTATTAACGGTTTTTTGCTAAAAGCTTAGTCGTATTACACGCACCAAAAATTTTGCCTCGAAGGGTGTCAAAATTTCATCTCTATCTAGAAAACGTCACTATTAGAGTGACATCTCTGGTATACACTGCCATCAATTCGTGCCAAATTCAGTCTCCATCATTCCCAACAGATAAATCCGAAGGACTAGTGTGTGGTGACGATGGTAAGGAAGATATAGAAATTATACAACTAGACATTGAATGAATTTTTTCCGCAATTCTTCACGCACTTGGGTGGACGCTAACGAAGACTGAGTAGAACATCTTAAAGGATTCCCATTGGGTGCATAAATGTGGCACAGTTTTCGGACATCTTGTTTTGCCCACACACTCGCCGTTTATATAATACGAGTATCTCTTACCATGTGATGCATAAATCCCAATAATAAAACCTGCCTTTTATGCACCTTCCCTGTTTATGCATTGACGCAATTCCTGCCTGCTCTTGTCATCTCACTTGACGCAAACAACTGAGTGATTTATTTGAAAATTGGGAGTTTGCTTGAAATATTTTGGCCAAAAACATGTTTGCTTCGCATCGTACGATTAGGTATCAGATCATTTCTTCTAGACCGGTAAAGTCGAAGTCCTACAGCGCCCGTTCTGTTTGTTCCTTTTTTGTTCATGAAATGTACCCTTAGTTGTGTTGGAACCTCGTTGTCATAGATTCACATGTAAATGGTCTTACGACTACCTTGAGGTCGCAAAAATTGGCCTGATAACACAACATTTGATTTTCATTACCCATATTGACACACCCTTTCATAAAAAACGCAATTATTTGCTTTCAGCCTACTAGAGACTTACCACTTCAAAAATCTCAAAAATCTCAAAAAAATGATCACCATATACGTTTGAAACCAATGTGACAATACTGAAGATAGTCAAAAATTGTCAATTAAATTTCATGGTCGCGCATCACAGATATTCGATTGAAACAATGCAAAATATTTTAAATGAACAGAAATAAGACGGAAACAAAATGTCAAAACAGGCCATTACAGAAACATTAAAACCTGGAGCGCTGGAGTGGAACGCATTAATGGAGAAGTAAAAGTTGTACATATAAAACGATTTTTAGACAACCATTCTAATCTCAACATTCCAGGAGTTTCAAATTGTAGGCATGGATTTTGAACCAGAATTTCGTGGAGTTTCACTAAAGTTCATCCAATGAAAAATCTGTTCCACAATCTTTTGAAGTTGGCTAACAGCCACGCTAAGCTCGTGCTAAAACATTTGGCGTAGCTATTTACTTCCAACTAAAGTATTATTGCATTTGTTAAGTGACAAAAGACGGACCTTAAAACCAAGGCAAGAAACGAATGTGAACACGCTTTTACGTTTACTGTTTCCTTCTTGTAGTAGGACGGACATACAGCGGTCGGAAAATGGGAGCGAGAGCCGGACAGGCAAACGCAGAAACCAATCATCAGCTGGGGCAATCCGCAACCCAGGCCCTGACGGCAAATTCTGTTGCCGCTTTGGCAGCAGTTAGAACAGCAGTTACTGCATTGTGCTTTCTATCGGCGTCAGCCCTGGGCGCTTTACGGAGATTCGTTGCATCACCAAAAGGTAATTTGCGCACATGCGACAGCTTGTGAATCGGTTTTTATCATGATTCCCTTAGTAATACGATTATTGACTCGCTGGTCAACAAACGAAAGCAACAGTACTGTTTTCATTTTTTTTAATTTTGAATATAACTGGATGCGAAAAATCTAAAAAAAATGACAGTGCAGAAATTTCCGCGGCGTATTTCACATGAATGCAACCCCGAAAGTTACATATAAATTCATTTTTCGGGGATAGAAAGAGCTGTTGTGCCTCTACGTGCTTTTATGTGATGCGATTAGTTTTGATGTGGTCTAATCAATAACTGAAGGAATTCAATTCGACACGAAGTGTAGTTTGATTGTGGCATAATCTGCTTAAACATTTGCGCTTAGATTTGTCCTTGCGAATCTACAGCGGGGCGTAACAAGGGTAAGCGTCGGCACATATTGGGGCACATCCAGCAACTCATATCTTTAAGTATGGATGACTGATTTAGACGTTTTGTCAAGAAAAATTTCTAATAAAGGGGAACGAAAAATTATGACAAAACATTTCATTATAGGTGGGAAAGTAGCATGAGCACCACAGCGGTGTCAGTAGACCTAATAATATGCTAAAATACACCCATGGTTTACACAAAGACTTTGATGTTTTTACCTCTTCGCACAAGCCATTTAAACCACCAACGACAGCGATCATAACGTAATTGAATTTGCTGATAATTTATTTCAATTATTTCCCTAAGTAGGATCGTTGGTTAGGAAAGCATTTTTCATCTAAATTCTTTGGTTTCATCATTATATTTGGTCACAATATAATTTTGTTTTCGCAAATAGCAGTCGGTGGGCTCTCAGTTCAGTTTATCACAGCACAAGTGCAACGAGATTCATTCTTCCCATGAATACAACTTTCTCGTCCTCCTCACCACAACAATTATGTTTAACGTTTCTAAGACCTGTTCGGCTCTCAGTAATTTCGTAACCCTTTGTCCTATTTTTACATGAAGCAGTACGTGAGAGCGCATTCAAAGTAGAAATTAAACTTAAGAGGTCAACTCGAGAGAAGGCTTTAACTAAAATTTACAAATTACATTTGGATAAGATGCTTTATTTAATTGCACTATAAGCATCACTTTTGGTAAAGCTTCATTTTTGACACTTCTAAGTCATCTGAAATGTTTAACGTGACCAAAAATTGTTTATTTCGGTTTGAGCAGCTTCTTCGATAATTTATCGTATTGCTTTAATCGCTTAACGATTCCTTCATAATAAATGGGCGAGAAGCGCAACGGTTTTCAAAAGCGTTTCTCTTTTTACTGAATCGATGGACTTTTCTGTGGGTATCTTAAGGTTACTGAGGTAACACAGCAACAAAAAACTTGTGTACGCATTTTATAGACTACTCATCTTGCACAATGAGGACTTCTCCTTGTGAATTTTTATTTTAGTTGTGTTTCTGTGATGCTTTGACAAGTGAGATGCTGTGTTCAAATTTATCGACATGACAGTAATGTGGACAAGATCATTCTTCAAAGATACTAAACACTGTCTAGGGGTATTAATTGGGAACTTAGACGGATCATGTAATTTGTTTATCTCTTTCTTCAGTAAAAGTGGATATTTAAAGGCGCCATGCAGTCGCGATTCAATTCCACCAGCACAGAGGCAGAAGAGGAGGTGTGGAGTAGTTCTTCGATAGACGAATTGTCATCCCTTTCTCAGCCCACTTCCCAAGTCAATTCCCAGCGTTTTCACCCAATTCAACCTAAGCAATCACCACCCCTACGCGCTCCTCCGCTTCAGCAGCAGCATCAACATCATCACCATATTCATCACCATGCTCGAGAATCTCAACAACATCACAAAAGTAACGAATCTACCACCCACCAGCCACCAATGGTGGAAAACCAGATATTTTCATCTAAGACCCTCGGGATCGGTAAGTAGAAAAAGTACTTGAAATGAAACTTTATTGCCGACATCTTTCCAGATTGGTTAAGTAAGCCGTCTCCTTCAGCGAATGTTTATAAAATAACTTCTTTGCTAAGAGAACACCGCGACCGGGTTATCTTTAGAATTCGACGAGTATCTCATCATGGCCCCGGTGTTCCGATGCAACTGTTTTGTATTTTGTTACTTCAGTGCAAATTTCTGTCAAAAAATGTTATTAGCGGAAAGGCTACGTGTGAAACGAATTAACCTGCTTTAAACTGATGGATTATTTCGTGCTATTTGTAAAAAAATCTTTCATTACATTCCAGTTAATTTATATTTCATTGTATTTCATTATTATTCCATTATTGTTTGAAGGCAAGTTCTAAGCATTTAAGGAGGTGGCTTTGCTTCAGACAAGTTCAAAACGATGAACATTTAGGAGCAAACAAGCAGTTCGGACTTAGAATTAGGGCAGTCGCCGCATTTACCTCATCTTCCTGGCAACGTCCATAAAAACCACTGAATAGGTTCACATTTTGCGTTGTTTTTATGAACCTATTGAAGTGTAACATTTTAATGAATTAAAAACTTATTGTCCAATTTTTTGTATTTCAAAAAAAGTGCAACTCTAAGTACTATTAAGTTCGTCAGAAGCCATACGCTTGAATATTTAAACATTTCATGTGGGTAAAAGTGACGATTCCTCTTAATTGTTTTGCATATTGGTGTTCACATTAGGGCATTATAGCTTCGTGGCAGTAGAAAAATTAAAATGGATAAGCGATGGAAATTTTACGACATTTCTGGGAAACCCTATTGAACCTGACTGCGAGTTTTTATGAACCACATCGCACTTGGGAAATTACGTTTGACAGTACATGTTTAAACAACTGTATTGGTGGGTCATTAGTTAGCTATTTTTCATTGTTCTTACAGTGAAATTTCTTAACCAGCTGCATGGAATCGCTGACTAGAAGGTGTTATCTGTGTAAACTCGATAAGATTTTGATTTATCCATCGGTTTTGATTGTTCATAAAATATTTTTTAAATACTATCCAAAACCGATCTTCCTAAGGTCTTCGATACCATATTCATTTGCTCCTTATAAACCCTAACTACCTCAGTTAAATGTTAGAGTTAGTTTGGTTTTAATTCAAAATACATTATTGGGCTCATATCTATCAGTAGCTTTTGAGGTTAATTATAAATTTGTTTTGATGCAAAAGTGAGAAGAGACCGCATTCCTGTTTGGTTGCAGATCTTAATAGTACCAAATAACATGTGTTCTTGCTGTCTACACACTTTTTAATGAGTTAAATTTGAATGATTTTCAATGTAACTATAAATCCGTAGGTTAACATTTGCCGTACAAAATGTTTAGCAACGCTTTTCAAATGTTTTTATTTGCAGAAGTTTATGAAACAGAAGGTCTTTTTGCTAATCTCCGTAGCAGGCAAGCCTCAACGGAGCGATCAACTCAACTCCCATACTTATCACCGTTTCAACACCGATGTATCCATGCAGTTGCAGATATGGTTACGTCCCCACATACAATTTTGCCAACCTTAGTGAGCGTTTTTCTTCGACCTGATGGAACAAAAAAGGGGATCTTCAGCAAGAACCTCTCAAGTGAATTTTCCGCAATATTCATCTGGGTTTATACGCATCATCGCCGCATTCTACCAAACCTACTCACACACTAAGAACCCCTGATTAAACCATAATACTTGAAAGGTTTGATGCTAATAGGAAATATGAACCCAGACATGGATTGTTGCATGCAAGCAGCAGAAAACGCTACGGATATAGTATTCCGTCTTTCAGATTTCGTGTTGTTCATATTTTTAGGATGGTATTTTAATTTATATGCATGGAAACTGAACAGGAACGTTGTAAATGCTTTTCATTTTCAAAGGCTCCTGCGTCACACATCCGGTCACTCACATCAAAAATCACCTAAGTGTAGAGCCTTGTCAGGCAGACCTACAAATTGAGAAATTATCATCTAAAAAACGAAAATGGGTAGAAAATGTAGGGGTCATTGCATTTAATGCCTGGATGCTTTTCTCATTTCAGTCTATCTCAAGGCCGCATACCGGCGTAAAGAGAAAAAGACGATCGATCTGCAATACAAGTCCAAAATTCCTGCTGCTCTATTACCAACTGCCATTGCATTAGTATTCAGCTACATTTGCGGCCTTATTTTTGGGTGGCAGCTTGGTTTTACGATTGGCCTTACTTCCGTAACAATTTACCTCATGTTCATATGTAGGTTCTTACTTTCTGTGGGCCTTTATGGGAGATGCTGTCAATAAGGCCACCATCCACTTAGTTTAGACTGTCCTTTTTTATTCATTTTTGCAGAGGCTCTGTATGTTTCTGCAGGTACAATGGAAATCCCAGTGGGTTCATTTCTAAAGACAAGTCAGCAAAGCTAAACATTAGAACTGCTTTGATGTGATGGTAAATCACCCATGAAGAAAATGATCGGAGTAACTATTCCACACTGGCAAAATTTTGATAAGTTATAAGTAGTGAAAAACGTTGTTCAAAGACACTTAGCTTCAATGTACGAAAAACTTCACTACAGCAGTAATTTTCCAGTATTTCTAAGTGATTTTAGGCCCTACTTATTATGTCCATTTCCTGTAGTTTTAAACCACCGGTTTACCATCTCTTTAGAATGAAGAAATATTTTATTGACTATCCTTTACGACTATCTGAGCGATTCTCCAATCAAGTACAAAAACCCACCATTTGCCAAATTTGCGTTCCACCTGATGTCATAGGTCACCACCTCTTACTACTTTGAGAAATGAAATGAGATTGCGTTGATAAATAAGAAAATCGATGCAAAATGTTGATTTTCAATTTAAGGCTTGGTGTTTTACGGTGGATTAGTAAGGCGATGGAAATCAGCACAGCAAATTGGTGAAACACTGATGCGTTACGCTAGATCCTGGAGTCTAATAATGGACATCCTTTTCTGCCGACCTCCCGTCAAAAGTTCAATTCCCACAAATATCAGGTTATATCATTTTTATAACTGTAATTATATTCCGGTGCATTAGATAATCATTTTATAAATTAACATGTCAAGTTATGAATTATTTCCAAAAATCAAATTATTAAGTAAATTCGTAGCATGACAAGTTCAAGATTCGGTTGGTATTTGATTCGACTCAAGAACACAGGTTTAGCCTGAGTTCAGGTTCCTCTAGATGTTATCTCTACTTTTTGTCAATAATCACTTTCGAGTCGGGCAATGCATGTTATGGGGTGTTAAGACACATCCTCACGGATTCCTTAGTTAAACTCTTGTGATTTCATTTAAATGGATCCAGCATTTTTATCGGGAACCCCCTTGGAAAATCAGTGACATATGATTAAACAAAGGAGGTGCAATCTTTTGATTCTTCTCTTAGCTTTACGGTCATATGTTTTGATCTGTCAGGAGGTCAAATTCCCATCAGCGTCTTACCTCTCAAGTCTTGCAAATATAATTCCTGGAGTTTTCGGTCACAATTGTAGTTTACTTATTTCCTAGGCTTCTTCCTGTTAACCTCAGACTGGGGAGTTCTGAGACCCCATGGGAGGCTGCTGTTCAATTGTCGGAAAAGATGTGGGAGGCTACAACATCCAAGTACTCAAAGACTGCCACTTACCTGCAGTTTGCTGCCGAGGACGCAATTCGTGAGTTTAATTTCCCCCATGAAGTTCGCCGAACTAAGGTGATTGCGCTATAATTCTCATCGGTAAGATTAAAAATGCCAAAAACTAGGGACTCTTTGGCACATATTTAGAAAAAGCCAATTTTTTCCTGTGTCTGATGGCTTCTTTCAAATCTTACATTCCTTACGGAACCAAATTCATTTTGCGTTTAAAACAGTTCGTTAACTATTGTTTTAGTTATAAACGAAGTGTTATCCTTACGTTCCTAAATTTATTTCAGAAACTGATTGCTAAGTAATTTTTCAAGTAATTGAGGAATTTCAGATTTCGAACCATTTAGTTTCATGTCCAAATCCTTTCAAGTTGCACCTTGTCTATTACGATACGTGCTCCCAAAATTGTCCTGTGGTGTTTATCCACTGATCAAACATAAGAAACTGCAGTTTGTGTATAGTGCCGACTTTTGTGCACAATATTTTCGTTCCTGTTATGTAACAATAACTATGTGCATGACACTTTGTTAAGCTTTTGAGAAAAGATAAAATAAATAATATGGTAAATGGAGATTTTTCATTAATGTTATGCATATTCCTCACGAGAGCTGAAATAATGATCTATTACCTATGACCACCACAAAATTTTTGACGTAATTTGGCCTTCATAGTTACCATGCGGGTCTTCACAAGTTAATTGCTTCAGTGTAGGTCACATCTACTAGAAGGCATTGACAATTTTTTTGAGGAAGTCTAAGCAGATGCCGTGTTGACTATTCTTTAGGAGTGGTTCTTATTCATCAATCTGCATAAATTTATCTCTTTGGTTTCTTTACCTTGAACTTGATATACTGTTCACGTCAGTTCCAATTAAATTTTTGAAGCCTGTGAAATTGGATTTGCTTCCACCAGTCTAAACCTCCAATTGAAGAAAGTCCGCAATGGTCTTCCAGGTCTTAAAGATATGAATTATCGAAAAAGTGTAATTTTCTGGTCACCCTTATTCTTAATTTACGCGTCATTACCTGATAATTTGAGACTGACGTAAAAATGTGAACGAATGACTTCACGAAAAGAACAACAAGAGCAGAAAAAAACCACTAGACTTATCGCAAAACATATAGTTGATGGTGCATTTCTTGAAAAAATTGAAATGCTATTCTTTTGTTATAAACAAAGCCATTACCGTTCACACGAGCATCAATAATTAATGGCTACGCACAAAGGTAAGGAAATGGTCATAATCTTTAATGAGGTGCTTTAAGAGAGCTGTGCCAACAAGAGACAATCTCTTATAACTAAGCGTTTTCTGCAAGTAATTTAGGTATAAAAGTCACATAGTTCCTTTTTGCTAGTTTTGTGAATTGTATTTAATGCCGTCTCACTTCAAAATTGCTCCTGAATCTCGAGAATAATTATTTGCAGGGATTAGGATGAGCAGGTGAATAAGGCTAGCAGTCAGTTGGCACAAGACCTTACGGGCTGGCCAAAGACAGTAGCTTGATTCGAATATATTTGAAGGAAACATCAGCTGCCTAAATTCGTGGTTGCTTAGGAAATATACCGAGCTATCGAACTAGAGGCTCATGCTCGAAAAGTTATTTCATCTCAGTTAAAAAAATACTTTAGAACAACTACATTTTGCTATTCACAGAGGTGTGCACAACTGTTTTCCTGATCATACTAAGCGGTCAATTTGTGCTCAAGTACATGTCCACCTGAAACTCTACTAATAGCCTTTACATTTCTGGCATAGAAATCCAAAATATTGTCTGAGTTCTGCATATGTATGATCCAACTCTAAAGATTCGTGGCATCGTTAAAGTCCTCAGAAATTTCAAATGAGAATTATTTAGTGTTAGCGGAGATATTTTCAACTCCTTCTAAGGCAAAGCATGTTTGTATTAAATTTTCGGTAAGGATGAATTGTAATGAATGTTTTTTCTTTGATGTTATTCATGTAAATTAAAAGCTCAACTGCTTAACCAAATTTACAGTTGAAATTTCACATTTACACGTAGAAAATATCAGCCCCAGTGAAAATCTTAGAGAAAAGAAAATCAATGAACTTCCCTCAACTTTTTACTTTCATTCAAGAAGTCGACGTACGATGACTGGAACACGAGTGTCTCGTTAAAATATTAAATGCTATCCTACCATTTAGAGCGATACCTTCAAGCAACTTTACTGCTCAGGGTGTGTGCTAACTGGTTACAGACGAAAAGCAGGCAGCAGACATTACGCAGTGCTGGCTTGATTCGTCTGTGACGTGATAAAGCTACTGACCTTGTTAGAGTTTGTTAAAGAATTTGCAAAAATGTTACCAAAATAAGCAGTAATCGTTGTGGAGAATCACTTAAGACTAAAGCCGTGATTCTTCAACATAAATAAAACTATCAGAAACCAAACAGAGGTCAATCAAGTGTTTCAATATAATTTTTCTGTTTTAGCAAGTCCAGTTAGTGGATAGACAAAAGCATACAAATAATAGTCTACTTTTCAAATAGCTGGGGCCCATTGACTTTCAGTTGATGCAAAGTACTTACTTCAATTTTTTAATCTTTCACTAAAGCGCTGGATTGGGAAGTTTCTGCCATCAAAATGGGTATTTTTGCATTAAAAAAACTGGGCTCGAATTGGAGGTACCTTTAGTTTGAATTCAACATTTTAAGTAGTCCTCCATAACACTAGTTCTCATACCTTCAAGTTTTTCTAGGTTCCACAAAACCTCGATTTCGCAGAGTCTGCTGTCTTCCTTCGTGGGCCTTTCTGCCTTTGTGGATTTTGTCCCTGCTCACTTGGACTACAGTACATAGAGTGTATGCAGGTCCTAGAAACAATTCCAACAAACTTGAGACCGGTCTGAAGGTCGCACTTATTGTTTCTGGTGTGGTTTGGCTACTTGGCCTTCTTGCGATCTTGTCAACAATATTCAAGCCTATTACTCGACTGATTAAGGTACAGAGTCGTTTTCGGCAGCTCAAAAGGGACAATGTGCGACTTATGAATAGTTCTCAGATATCATCGGGTACGTAATTGAGATCAATTTCGTTATTACATACTTGATGCTGCCTTTAAATTTCAAAATTGTTTCAAACTTCAACTAGACATTTATTGAAGCTCAGATAATTTGGTTTCCTGTTGTCCTGAATGCATATTTTTCTGCACTCAAAAAAGGAGTCACCCTTACTGTTTTTTGACTTGATCTCTCAAATTACTGTTCTCTAATGTAACTTATCGCAAGCAAAATGAGGAGTAACATAAGCTACTTCTTTTACCGAGGAAAGTAAGAAGGTGGATCGATTTCTACCAATTAGACTTTTTGTGATGTCCCCTAAATTCTCATATTAAAACATTATTCTATTTTAAACTAATAGGTTTTTGAGCTCTCTTTCAATTTAAACAAACTTTAATTCTTCCTCGCCAGATGCAGACCATGTATCTGGTCATTAGAATGGGTCGGTATCTCTTCGATTCTCCTGGAGTTATTAATTATAGGCTTGTGAACCTTTTCTTTAGAGTTTCAATTTTATCATTTAGCAATTTTGTTTATCCATGATGTTTCAAATCACTTGAGAAACCCAGGTTTGTTCAAATTATTTTCCTAATTTGTGAAAAACCATCAGATATGGTTTTAATTTCAGCAATGATTTTTTTCGTTTGCAGTTTATATTCTGATCATAGCCACCTTAGCCCTGTGAACAAGAATTAAAGTGGAATACGCCTAAATAAGGGTAAACGTCACGTTCTATGAATCATTGTTTGTTAGATTTCCCTTTCTGGAAGTCAGAAACACTTTACATTTCAGAACTCTGCGTTGTCAACTGCAAATGGCACTACAGGGTTAGTAACTGTTGTTATTTTAGGATGCAGGCATAAATTGCAACTACTAAACATTTTCTTAAATTAAATGGAACAATTCACTTAAACATCTGTTAATAGAAGCTCAAAAAACTCATGAAATGTTCGTCGACAGTAAAGATAGCGTCGGGAGTACGGACTCATTCAACGGCATCTGCAAGCAGAGTCAACCTTCGCGAGAGACTAATTCCCAGCAGCTCCTTCTGAGTGATGGTTCCCCATGCCTTGAAGAGGGTCTCTACAACGCGCTCGAAGCGCAATTACGCCAGGAGAGCCTAGACACCTGTCACACCTTACACCTCCTTGATATCCGCTGTGATCGCCAGACCCGAGTTTTCATATCAGTCGACGCTACAGCCTGGCATCAAATAGGGCGCGTAGCCGAGTTTTGTCAGACGATAAGTCGGTTTCTGATTTCTCCTGTTGAAGGGGGACCTCGTGTGTTGTGGCGTCTTGCGGACTCACTGCAGACTGTCTCAGTGGTAGGTAGATGAATGTTGTTTTGAGGCAGATATCATTCAAACAATATCACCTGAATTCCTGTCATGAGTAGCTTTGACTGCTTTTTCGGATACTGATGACGGGCATGGGGTGTCTCATTTTCACACCATGGCCAATTCAATAGCGTGAGTGCAGTAAAAATGAGTACGTTTTGTAAGTATAATACTTGCCGACGAGTGGCTTGTGTGACCCCATAAATAGACGTTGGCGAGAAGACTTAACTCTGAATTTCTTTGCTCATATGGCACATTTTAACTAATTTGTGCACTGTTATTCCTCAATATCAAGATTTTAATTCGACTTCATGTTTAAGGTTGTACCCTTATCTTGATCCAAAGTTGCCTAATAACCTCCTTAACAAAGTTTGGCGTTGGCGAGCATGCGCACATATACATGAGAATTTTTGTACAAAACAAAGCCGAAAAAGTCCTAATTCATCATAGTTATTGAAATTGCGATCAGCCATGAAACTCATAAGAATGCCGTGCCCCTTAATTGATTTTACCTGAAACCATGCGTTAGCTCTAATAAGGTGCTACACAGGGCACCATCAAGGGAATTTTCGTTATGCTACTGTTAGCGTTCGCAGGACACCTAAATCAGACTAGTAGAAGTCAACCACTAAATTGATACAAGGTGAAACTATTACTGTAATTAGAGTATTACATAAAACCTAGGTTAAGCTAAAACCACACTTCTTTCTTTAGAACAATGAAGCCACCCAGAAATCTTCCCCAGAAGCATGTCCACAAACGCCGAATATCTTTCTTATTATCGTATGTTCGCAGGACATTGATTGTCCCTCTGATCAACTGCTGAGAAGCGAATCTTGTGATAAGTTCTGGCAGCAAATGCACGATGCATGCTGTTTAACACTGTACATTGATGAGCCAACTGTGGGTCCGCAGCAGCATCAAGATGGGAGCCACTTTGACAGCTTAATGGTAAACCGTTGTTATCCTATTCAACCAATTAACCACCAGCCACCCAAATGAACCTGCACAGCTCATTGGATTTTAATCAACGTTATTAAAATTTAAAACTGTCCATGTTTGCCTATCAAATATTGAGTGTGAAGATAAATTCACCACTGCAGTATATAGTTGTTCGTGTCTATCCCACTCCATGATTCTAGTATTATAGCTTTAGGAGACGGATAACTAGAAAATCTTTGCTGTGAATTTTCTACTAAACTGCTGGAGCTATGTTAGCAGAAAACATCGGTAGTTTATTTAAGAGAAATGTGGTCTGTCTAAAAAATTTCCTGAACTGTTGCTAAAAGTGAACACTGAAGAAAAGCAGTTTATTCGAACTAGAATAAGTTGTAGAATTAAAAGGTTTTTGAACAATGGCTTTCATGTGCGAAACACACAGCAAGTAAATTACTGGTGTTAGCTTATTATGGTTCAACAATTTCATATTTTTGCGCTAGCCATGCACACATAAGACCGCGCAGAGCAACGGCCTTTGGTTCAAATCCCAAAATGTTTAATCAAAATGCGCGGTTTATATCACTTCTTTCTTTTTGATTTTTTATGCATCGTAATGCCATTTAGGGGTCGCGTTGCTCGGTCAGAAGCATTCACCACTCAGATCCCAGCTCACTTTCGGAATTATGGTCAAAAACAATATCAATTCCCGAGTTTTTCATTAACGACCACCCTTTAGCCGACATCAACGCTAACAAGCTCCAATACCTTTTGACCTCCATGGCATTTCTAGGTGAGTTTTTCTATAAACATTACACTATTAAACACAGGTAAAGGTCATTTAATTTTGGAATTTTTTCAAACTGCTAAAACACTTCAAGTTCAAGCACCGACCAGTGATCAAAGAAATCTAGAAGACGAGTAAATACCTAGGACTGAGCATATTGGTTTACTTGTATCCTCCGTAAGACAGGAATTGTAAAAGTCGGTACAAGTGAATGATTGGCTTTATGTAAGTAGTTATTGTGCTTCCCAACTTGCCCACACGATTTCACACAGAGCGCCACTCGCAATTTGGAATCAACACAGGTAGATAATATTTTCATACCAAAACATGATTCGCATGCTATTTTTGTCGAACCTCTCCCTATGGCACACACCTGATTTTGTGGCGGTTACGTATTCATGGTCGGTTTCCACTGGAGTTGTTCTTTCCAACACTTAATAGTTAAGCTTGATGTTGTAAAAGTGGCATAGAAACAGCCACTGCAATAAAAACGTAAAATTTTGAAAATTTGATGATGAAAATAAATACCCAGGCCCCGAGTGTTGTTTTCATTCCACCCATGGATTGGTGAATTGACTGTAGCAGGCATGTGGATCAGTTCTCCCCAATTAAAGAATCTATTAATTCCATTTTAATCGTTTAATAGTATAATTATGCACCGAGTACTTTGACATAAGCCCCGGCATCAATGTAAAGGGTTTGGGGCATCTTATATGAATGCCTCGAACGGTACGAAAACAAATCCTACGTTAGCTGTCGTTTCTACTTAACATGCAAAGGCAGGCCAAGCTTGGAAATATAGTTTGCAATGCTGAGCTGTGTTGACGCAATCTCAAGAAGGCAATGGATTAAACAGGAAACTTAGTTTGCTGTTAACTACACAAGAAGATAGGTGAGATACCTAAACTGCAGTTATATGCGACTGCTTGAGTAAGCAAAAGGTTAGAGTTAAATCAAGTTCGATACTCTGGTCTGTGTATTTGTTCTGTTCATATAAAAATTTTTAAGTACTGGGTATAAGTGCATACCCTCAGGGAACGCAATTTTTATAACCAATGACGTGGTTCTCAATTGATTATCAATTTCGTGAATTTTAACAGCTTTAAAATAGCTGATCGTAATACGCAGAAGCAAAGGTCACAATGAACCAACTGAAATAGGTTAGTTGGACAAGGTAAAGGCAATTTAGCTAGAAATATCGTGTAAAATAAGTCAAATGTCAGTTGATCGGAAGGAATCCTTTTCTAGTTTAAAGTACGTGTAATATTGATTACAAACGCAAGTAATGCGGGAGCTATGTTACTGGTGGTAATATTCTACAACCTTCTAAGCCTTCAGTTTGAAAGTGTTGAACGCACTTAGCTCCATACTCATCTTACTGCATTCATTTAAGGTCGGATGCTGAGGACAGAGGAATTCCAAAGCACTCAGGCACCTCTACTAGAAGTGGCTGCAACGTGGCTGTGCCTTCTTCTTCACTGGCCTTTTCATACAACTTGGCTGAGCCTTTTTCTCGAGGAGCATTACTCGCCTACCGGGAATAAATGTGTGCTGGGCTCTGACGATGAAGCCAGCACTGCATCTACCAGTCGACCCGTTCTCCCCACCGATACGCTTTCAATGCTCTACTCGCGTGTTCTGGAAAGGTGTGAGCCTTTGTTTTGTCGCCTTCGAGCATCCACAAAACCAACTTGTAATATTTTCGTTGCATTTATTTGGCCACATGGACTGTTGATCTTAGATCATCGACTATTTAGAGGCCATATATGATTAAACAGGAACTCTTTAAGACATGAGTAATTGTTTGGAACTCTTATTAGAGAAGTCACGTGGTTCTACATTTGCGATTGATAGGAATTGATATCTTCCATAGATTAACCCAAGAATTGGATTTTAACATTAAGTCCAGATCGGGTTCCATTCAACTGGTTTTGCTTCCAGAACTTCAAGGATTCAGTAAAAGATTTCCATGGACAGCAAATAAGAGCGCTGAAGAGGTGGACTGCAGTTAATTTACATAGAATGGTGCTGTTATTTACGCAGCTGATTTAATCAGGAACAAAACCTAAATACAAATGCACTTAGATATGAATGTTTTGTATCCAAAAAGTAATCCATTAATTTCTTGCGTCTCGGTTCACCAGCCCAAACTTCTTACCATGACTAAGTTGGCAGGCTTGATGTTCGGAAAGTGACTTACTCCTTTTTTCGAGGCTCTGACTTACCATGAAAGCACTGACGTTTGAATGTAAAAGTGAGCTTATGTGTTCTCTAGGCTCGGACCAGCGCTTTCGGCTTGTCGAATTCGCACCCAATCGTCAACGGTTCAGTCAACTTTACCCACGAGGCACTCACGCCTCCCGTCCGTAGCGCATTCGAAGCAAGCGAGCGCGGCGCTCCGTCTGTGCGAGCTTTCTGCGCATGATTTCAGTCCAGCCCGTTTAGCTAGCTTCCTTCTTAACAGATGCCATGGTTCCAGGTCCAGTGCTCACTCAGTTTCTACAGTTGACGTGACCGTCAGTGATCTATCCGCAGTCATGGCGTGTTCTCCCTTCCTTAATCCCAAAATCCGCGGTTTGATTCAGGGTGAGATTTTAGTTTTACACTTCACTTAACACCAAAAAGTAATGCATTGCTCACAGAAAAGTGGTTACGTAAACTTTGCTGCTGTGTCGCAATTAAATAAATACGCAAATAATGTATTTACAAGGAAAGAATTTAAAAGGTAACCATAAAGTCTTTAATATGCAAGATAAAGCCCTTATTCACTGCATTTATTCGAATTGGTCTGTGTTTAATTCACCTTGGCTGGTTCCCTGTTGTCATCATCAATTACCTTGACGTAATACGGTAAGTGGAATGACGGATCTTGCGGACCAAGAAATTACTGAACCTACAACTGAGTGGTGATGTGCGTTTCAACTAGAAACTCATCTGTCCCAATTGAGACTTTCCTATGCTTAAACTTGAAAATGCAAAGAATCAAAACGGCGAACACAATTTCCTGAAGGAACCGTAACTATTCACATAAGTCAAACAGGGCGAAAACTAAAAATGCTGTACGGACGTTTCTGCGCCGTTCCACTTGCAGTCTGTCTGACGCATTCCATCCAAAATTCTAACAGCCCTCTTGATTTGTTGCGTGATTTGTTTTTAATCAGCCAAAGTTAAATTAATTAAGTATTTTGGTGAATAAACTGTAATACTATTGTAAAATTGGACAACTTATTCGTCCTAATCAACCTTTGCTTTAATCTAGAGTTTATTCATTCACCACAGTAACTACGAAGAAATTCAAATAGTTCTCAAAGTGAACTGCATTATTGGTTACAATTGTCGGGGATGTCAATATTTGCACATACAGATTCACACACGAGTCGCGCCAAATTCGTTACAGTAGCAGCAAAGATTCTACAATTCACTTGTCCTAAGTGCTCTATTGTTAAACATAATATGAAAACTTACATTTCTCGAATTAAAGTGTATTTTTAATAAATCTGGCTAAATATAAGACAAAATCCAATATAGTTCATTAATACATTATTATTATTATTTAATCTCAATGCGTGTTTCACCTTATGAGTCGTCAGTCGATAAGTCGTTTAGTCCCTTTCTTGAAATTCATACAGTCAATGGTGTGAAAAGATTTTAATTTAAGGCCTTACTTTAAATTTCATGTAATCGTCGTAACGAAATTTATCAGTTTCATTCAATACCTTCTCTAAGGTAATTATTGGTAAGACTGGTCCTCGGTTTTTCAAAAAACGCATGCGCTTACAATCGAGTGCGGCCGCAGCTGCAGGTTCATCTAGTTTGGTTGAATTAAAATTTTGTCGAGGGGCTCCTAAGTGTGCTCATTTGTGTCGTTGACTGCTGCGACTTCCAAATTGAAGTAAGCCCCTAATAAATTCTGTCGTTGTTAAGTCATTTGACTTTGGGTTCAACTATATTTTTGTTCACTTCTGGACTGCGTGTATTTATTAACGCTGTATCAATCAGAAACATCTGAAAAGTTCACCTCAGGTTATGTGATATACAGCGCTCATATATTTTAGAACAGCTTAATACTTTGTAATTAATTTAGGCTCCTAATGTACACTATGCATTCTCAACATAATTTATACCTAAATAGTGTCGGACGAATGTAGGCATTGTGAAAAAAACGCAAGTCAATGAAGCCTAAGATTATCCTTTAGGGTAACTAAGTCTAAAATAGACTGCAGGTTGTCAACCACCTCAAATTTACCAAATGTTTGTTTTGTTTTCATTAAAGAAAAACCATGATCAAATATTTTCTATGAGTAATTGTAATTTTGTGACAAAAACCGTCCTTTCTACTTCTGTAGATTACTTAAACGTATGTGGATTTTCTCTCGCAAGTAGTGATAGCAAGGATCGACATGGTAAGTTTAAAAACAATTTGAATGCTTTTTAATAATATTCCTACTGACGACGCATGTAACTAGCAATAAGGCGAATGCAAATCAAAAACAAACAAAATCATTGAGTTTACAAATAACACCCTAGTTTGTCTTCGGTATCCACGTGGGTATAGATCTTAGCCTGGTCCTGATTTTCAACATGGGTCTAAATATTTCCAAATCGTTAAACTGTACTGACGAACTAACTCGAACACACTAATTATATATAGAATACCCGATGCGGATGGGATTTTGTGGACTAAAAATCGCATAAAAGCACGTCCCTCTCTGTTAGCAGAAACACTCGTTTTGTTGTGAGTACCGACAAACAATGGATACTGTGTTTTCGAACAGGTTTAATTGGGCGCGTGCCGATGACCGAGTTTTGGTGTTTTTTTGCACAATGAATTAAAGACGCATGTTATCATAAACAGTCGTACCACTGAAAGAGACCCAATGTTTGTTAACCGACTGGTTAAACTCCCGAACCTTCAAGACCTTATTGATCTAAGTAAATCAGTAATTATGAGTTCGCTTGATACAGGACTTGAGCTCTCATAGTTGGTTACTGAAAATGTGCGTTTGCGGTCGTGCGTAGAAAAGCGCCACGGGAAACTGGATTCAACAGGAGATGCTACCTCACGATCTCGTTTTCGTGTCTAGTTAGAGCATTATATCTCCGTTCCTGTGGTATTGTTGAACCAGTTCTGAAGACTAAATCGTTTTGTAAGTTGCTTATAGATTGTGCCACAAGTTCAGTTTGTTTTACGGTTCATCGGCGAAAGTCAATTCCTTCAGTCACTCCATGTTGGCACCCACACCTTAATTGCTAATCTGGCAAAATTTTTATCATGGCCAACAGACCTTTGCGTCTTTTGTGACTCTAAATAAGCCAACGAAGCGATAGCATTCTCGCGATTTTTTTGTTTTTGACTACGAAAATGAGAAGTCAAATCGCAAGCATGTGGTAAAGAGAGAGGCATTAATGCCAAGGGTTCACTCTGTTGGAGGATCTTCCAGGACAAATCTGATCGTGCCTGGTCACAATCTTTATTTGATGGTCATGAGCAAGGAATCGGCGCCGTTGCGTGTCGTAGGTGTTTGCTAGATCTCTGAATTGGCTGCTGCACCAGTTAATTGACGAAAGTCGTGCGGAACACGATTCTTCTTTACTGTTTTTTTTTCATTAAACACACTGCGAAGGGGCGTTTCCTTCAACCGATCACTGTATTCGATTGACATGGGTTTTGCATAGGGGTGTTTTTGAGACAGGGCGAGTTGCTGTTGGGTCAAGATCTGCACAAGCCACCACTGGGATTGACTTGCACCCACGAAGCAATGTTGAGTGGGCCATCAGTAGTTGAAACCAAGCCTAATTCCTTAATTCATCCTAGTGCTGTTTCACTCGTATTCTTGTTTTTGAGGTTTCGCATGATGATAAAATTAAAACTGGTGTGTTACGAGCCCTTCCATAAGAAAGCCAATCTTTCTTAACGCGTGTAGAACACTGTGTGATGAAGCAGGAAGAGAGTCCCGTGAAGAGGCTGGGACCTGCACCAGCATCTGTAAAACCTCCATGTCCTGTAAGACGAAATGTTTGTCATTTTTTCAGGAGTGCCCCAAAACAGTGAAAGGTCCTTTATCCGTCTCTGATATTAAACGCCACCGACTAAACTTCTTCTTCCGTTTTTTCGATTTATTTGCCAAGTACTTTGGAAAATTGCGGCCCATTTTGGATGCAGGTGCTATTTAAAGCAAGTTAGTCCGTTAACGTTGCTAGTTTTTCTTGCACCCTTTTCCTCTTTGAATGTGATAGGTCGTCTACGTGTCGAATGGAATTTGTTAAGTGGTTAAGTTGATCAAAATACTACAACACGTTGCGCCTTTTCAGGTACAACGCTAAGTGGCCGGATTTCTCACTATGTGAACAGTTGAAGCAATTTATTGAATTTCAAAAGATTCTCTTCCGGAAATATTTCTCCTGGTGTGCGGGTGATCCCCACAAACAGGGTAGCCTTGACACGCAAAAGCCTGGTCGTCTGTCACTTAATTTGCCTTTCCATTGATTGCCACATTGCACTTAAACTAAGCCTCCATTTGATGAGAAATACTACAGCTAGCTGTCTAGTTCAAATCCCTTTTTTGTCGGTCAGCAATGCTAGTTTTGGCTTTTTGTTGGTTATGTGATCGTTGCTGCACAGGAGCAAAACTTCTTATTGGCTCTTAGTAAGTTGTGTCTGTTTCAGCGTAGCCTCTGAAGTGTCGAGCTATCAATTTAGCGTGTTTTACAACGACTAATGTGGAAAATGTGTAGGTGCATTAACACCGTGTACAAGGTGGGATAATAAACCTGTTACTGTAGGCAAAACAATGGTGGTGAAAGCTTGTGGGGTGTGGGAGTTTGTGTGCCAATGAAACGCCTTCAGGAGACAACTCGAAAGTGACTCATTGATTTTGTTCGAAGCAACAGACCCGTATCACCCTGTGGACTGACTATGACACTTTAAGGTCCTTGATAAGACAAGTCCAGTATTCAGGTATTCGTATTGGCGGCAAAGTGCGGTGAATTCCACAGTTGCACACGTTGTCGACGAATAAGATTTGAATCAAAGGATGGAGCTTATCTAGGAATTACACTTGTATATCTTGGTCTGTATTTTTTATCACATCTTTAGTGGCTCTTTGCACTCCAGTCAGGTCCCTAAGGCATTATGCTAAAATAACTGGTGGATTACAATCCACCGAAGATTTTGTCCAACCTAGCCACTATGTGTCGTTGACACAGTCAAACCTCAAGATTTCAAGCTTTCTTTACGATAACATCCGAAGATAGTCTCGATTCTTACTCGATTAACGTTCAGTAGCTTAGAAGTATCTGAATCATTTTGCTAGAACACAACACGAAATTAATCATGGCCGGAGCTTTTTGTAGTCCTATCATTGTGTGCAGGCTTTCAGTTTGGTGTCGCTTTGGTTTGTAGATGTTCTAACATGTAAGAGAATGTCTGTGTTGTGTTTTCGATTTTACAATGGAAACGTAACCTTTTAATGACCCACTCCTACTTGGAGCCCATTGTTTAATGCGACTTCAGATAAGCAGTCGGATGAACTGTTGTAGATCTTTCCTTTGTATGGCCCTAATGGAATTGAGATAGTTGCTTGGTGGGTTAGTTAAAATGTTCTTGTCTCCTCTGAAACTGCGTAGCTCCGCCTTCGTGCTCGGGAGGAATGGAATACAGTGGACGTTATCACGGTTTTTTACTATGTGTGTTAACGCGGTGTCCAAATTAGTGATAGATTTAAATCGCAGCTGATCCCACTACCCCTGTGCGACCCCTCACTCGTTTTACTAGCACACATGATTGATTTAAATTACTTCTGCACCGGATTTTACCTTACTCGAGCTGCGTGGTTGATTTTGTTTATTTTTTTCGTTACGACCATTGTCTGGGCACTTTCCTTCCTGGGATATTTGATCTTTCAACTTTTACTGGCTTTTTGTGCTGGTCAACATAACTTTCATTGAACTCTTAATTGATGAACCTAATCGGAATTGTTTTTTGATAAAGCGGATGGTCAGAGGCATTAATGATTTTCGTCAGTATTGTTAGAGTTTATTCGAAGCGATGGTGCTTTGAAAACGGAACAAAACCTCTATGTGTGAATGTGGGCCATTCTGTTAGTTTGTATCCACAAAACCCGATCCTCCTTGTGCTAACTGGACCGTTTTTTCCGTCTAACTTTGGTTCAAGGTAAACTTTTTTAATTTTTGCTTCGTCAATAGTGTCTATGAAGCTGTTCTTATTACCTGCTGGGAAAAATTTTACTAAGAGCATACAATTGCACTGTCGGATTTGTCTTCTATTCAAACAGTAAGGGTAGGATCACTAAACCTCAATCACTCTCCATTGCTTCGACGTCACCCTTGTTCAGTGGTAGTTTAATCGCCATCCCGGCTGGATTCTCAATCTACTGAATAGGGCCAAGTAGGTGTTTGTGTCGTTTCGTTATTTCACGATTTCAATTATAATATTTACAGCAAACATCTCGCCTCAACTAAAAGATATAAGAAACTACAAAACCTGAATGAAATCTCCAGAACTGTGATCATGATCTTTGGACTTTGTGTTTGTACAATATTGTACAATATTTTCTGGGTTTTATCAAATTACCTGTGTGCATTACTTGGGATCTATTTTGCTTGAAAAACGAACGAACGAACGAGCGAACGAACGTCCGACCTTCAGGTCGTTACTCAAGACTAATGGGTGTAATGCATGTGTATAGTTTCTGTTACTGAAAGTGCATTTCAAATTATACGACGAAGCACAAGTAGTTTATCGAACTCGGTAGTGTAATCGCCATGCTAGCCTTAGCTATTCGAATTTGCACGATCAGCAGTCTTCATTGTGTGGTGATCGAAGTTTACATCGTAATTCAAAATCTTGGCGACAAAGCCTTCTTTACGAATCGTTTCTCTGGTTTGCTCTCAATCTTTACAATTTTTACTATGTACACTAGTTACGGCTTTTACGAATCTCTAATTTGGAGTTGGACAACCTTTGGGCTGAATTACATGGCCTTAAAGATGCTCTCTTGCTGTCTTGGTTAAAATATTGCAACGCATCTACCAATCACAACTGCGAATATCTGCATGACCCTATTGATCACTCATTACAACGCGTGCTGACACCTTTACTCCTCGTTCGTAACAGAAATGGTTTACATTAAAAATGACAAATGTGTAAACCTACCACGTGTTTCAAATAAAAACACGTGGTAAACATTGATGTTTTATCGACAGTGACTGATGTTTTTGTAGTGAGCGTATCATCTTTCTCACTGATGATTGCGGTCGAAGATATTGAAGTGAGGGCAATGCTGCATCAGAATATGTTTGGTGGAACTTTCTGCTTCTCAAGCAACATTGACAAAATTTTGCGTGCAATACCGTCCTAAGTTTCATTTTTCAGTTAAGACTTTTGGTAGTTAAATTATAATCGGATTGGGTGGTCAACGCTAGTGTGAGTTCATCAGCACAAGATAGACCACTCAGTAAATAAGGTTGTACAACATCCAAAACCTCCAGTGAGACAAGACAGAGTGTCTAACTGCTTATTTTAACGTTTGAGACCATATTCTCTGTCCCGTGGAGAATTGGAACGAAAAACCATCTTCCCAAGATCTAAAGCTAACATCTTATACAATTATCGGCCGCCATTTCAGCGAAAATACATTGGTCAGAATTGTTTTCCGATGGTGAGCCCGAAAAACTCATTTTATTTCATTTTAGTTAATCACAGCTTGCAGGCCCTGGATCCTAAGGCCGCAGAATTCCCCCCGCTATTTGCTCGGACCGGAAAGCCATCCTGTCCCGTCCCACTGAAGGTAACCATCAAATCAACTTCGACCCCAGTATACGTGCTCCTGTTAGCTTATAGTTTTGCCAAATCGGTTTTTATCATTTAAAACGTGCGTCTAATGGAAGGGCAGGGAGCACTTGTGTCTTGATCATGAGATTCAGAGCCCAAGGTATCTCGGTATCAGAAGTTAAATCAGAGGCTTGTACATTATTCCACATTTGCTTTCCTTGGGTTTTCTATAATCTTGTTTGAAAGCAATCCCTCCTACTCTCCTGTCGAGTCACTTCTAAGATGAAACAGTCGGAAATTAAGCAGGCAACGGATCAAAAACATTGCGCTTACGAAATTTCGATAATACTCAGTTATTTACTACCGCGGGTGCGGGTTACTGGTTTGACCACTGTTCCATTAATAAATCAAACACTAAAATCAAGAAGTTTAATATTTACCTTAGAATGGACTCCTCCGGAAGCCTCTCAGCATGATGACAGTTGATGACGTCTGCCACCTTGTGACGAAATTAGCCGAGTTGAAAGCCAACCAACGCCGAGTTCCATCTACTGCCCTCTTTTGCTCTGATTCCCCACAACCGCTTTTCGAATCCCCCTCCCTTGCTGTTTACCTCAGTCGTTTGCGTGCACTCAACATCAGTGGCGCAGTACTTGCTGTTTGTCCGATAAATGAGGCGCTTCGTCGTGACATTGGCATGGCACTTGAGGATTGGCGGCTCTTTTCCAAACTTATTACTTACCTGAAGGGTCTTGAGAGCGCTCCACCATCGCCACTCTTCCAGCATTGCCAGTGCTTCCGATCCATGTTGGATTTTGCGGATGTACGCATGCACCTGAATCACGCACATACCCAGACAAGAGAATCAGTTCTGAGTTCTAAAGCCATTGCTGGCGTCTCGACCTCTGAATCTATCCTCGCTGTGGCGTCCCAGAGATGGAAACAAGCCAAGTGTTTATCACCAGGTAACGGTAGCAATAGTGATGGAAGTGCAATGTCCACGATCAATGACGACAAGTGGAGCGAGCATCAGCGGACTGTTGAGAGGGAGGATTGTCGCTTATCTGGGGGAAGTTGTTCTGTATACTCCGCTGATATCATCTGCTCATCTAAATCGGACTGCTCTTTCACTTCAAGTTCATCTCCGTCGTTTTCATCAGCCCACAATGAGGGTGCGCAAAAAGAAACAGCGACGCAATGGAAACATGATGTGGATGTATAAACATTCTGTTGTATTAGGAATGTTAATAGGTAAGCAGAATACTGCGAGTGGCTGTGTATCCGAACCAGCTTATTATTCTCATCAAATCATGACGGACTTGTCAATAGGATCGAGGAGACACCCCGACGCTCACGTGCACATTATCACAATCTCAGACCTGGACAGCGCGTTCTGTTCGATCCGCCACCAACGTTTATCCCTTATATTGTAAGAAACACCAGCCTCATTACACAGACCTGTACCCTCACTAAAATAAGCAAAGTAGCATCTTGGACTCGATTTTAATGATGGGCTCCTCCGCCCGAGTACATCTTGATCGGTGCTTAGAAGAACAATGACGCAATCGAATATCACGAGATTGAAACAATGTAGTAGCGGAGGACCCAAATTTGAAAAAAATAGGAATTATGGTATGCAAATGGGATGTAGACGGCCATATGGAAGAAACATGGGAACCGTTTTGTACAAATTTAATTAGGGGTGTGAAGCTTTAATATGTATGTATATATATATACACCAGCGTGAGTATGAACAGACACGTGAAAACACGAGGGGACATCAAATCTCTTTGACCGCATCATTGGAGACTGAGGACTCCTCCACCTGATTAAGAGACTCTTGACCAAAAGGGGAGTGACTCAAGGGCTTTGTCGTTGTGATATCAATACCTTGTTCCACCTTCTGATCCTTCAGTTGGACATCTCCATCCTCATAACCACGGCAGAGGGCGCACATAAAGGCGCTATCACTTATTACAGCGTCGCGACTGCACTCGCTGTTGAGATGCACCCAGCGGTTACAGTAATCACAGTGGGCCCAGTCAACAACCTAAAAGCAGCATCTACATGTTCGCATAATACTGCAACAAAATACTAGAATCCCGTTATTTGAGATGGGTGGCTTTGTATTCGAATGACAGCCCAAGCAACATGAGTCCACTTTAGCCATTCACCACCATTGGTAACACGAATCAATAATCTATCATAACGACAATGAGTTCATTCAAAAGCTTGAGCTTCAAGCAAAATTATTGTTCTACAACTAAAAACACGACTAAGTAGAATTAGGAAGTTGTCTCGTATACGGTGTATATTAAACACTTAACACTGCAAGGCAAAAGTAGCATATTTCATATGGTTTAGTTTAAAGGTTTCACAAAAGTCGCAATTGTTAACGGACATTACCGGCTCCATTGCGCTGACATAATGTTGGAGTAGTCTGTAGTAGAACACTTAGAACGAAAGCGAATGAAACAGCGATTGGTGTTCCAAAGTACCCTAATTATGAAAGGTTCAAACAAATTACGCCTCCTACCTGGCAATCCGAGTCGTTAGTAGCGGACGCGTCGGGGTCGAACCCGGGAGGCTCAAGTTGGCAGCAGACTGCACAAAGTCCAGGCGCCTCGCCTTCTTCGATGTCCTCCACGAGACTAGCGGAGGGTTCGTCCTCTCCTTCAGCATCGATGGTGGTCACTACTTCCTGTTCCATAGCCGTCTCCTTGGTACCCATTATTTGAGTTTGTGAGGACTGTCAGATATAGAATAACTTGTATTTTTTTCTAAGATGGCGAAAACTTTCAAAATTGAAATAAGGCGGGTAAATCATGGTGATGACGTTAAAAACAACCTTATCAGTATAAAATATCGAAAAAGATTTTTCTTGCACCACTTTTTTTAACATTTTACCGATTGCTAGTAATGAAGGGATTCGTGTTTTGCGAGTGGCCTGCAACAAGTCTCCGCTGTCAGATGTACTACTAAATCATTGTATCACTTCGTAAGGAATAACATTAAACCACAATGATCAAAGTATACCAGTGGCTTGGCTTCATCTACGATGTAAATCCAAGCAAAAGACGTACATCAGCAGAAACGTGGCCCACATCTCCACCACCAGCGATAAAAATGGGTCGGGAGACGGAGTTGGGAGCGGTGTTTGACAGCCTAATAGCAATATTCGAACCACCAGCAGTCAATTTCTTCGGTACAGCGAGAAGTTGCATAGGCTTGCCAACAAGACCGGAGGTTGAAGTGGCTGCAAGTACGCGAACACAAGGAGTCGTGGACGCTGGTGCAGGTCCCAGCCTCTTCACGGGACTCTCTTCCTGCTTCATCACACAGTGTTCTACACGCGTTAAGAAAGATTG